TTTTTTGTATTTTAGGGAAGGGTCTACAGGGTGTTTCGGGTCTCACTACTAGATTGCACTTGTAGCGATTCACCTGTTCACAGCCTCCCAAGAGCTGGGATTCCAGGCGCACCACCACGCCAGTCTCTAGTTGCTGCTTTTTTTGAGACCTTCCTCCCCTTATATTGGGGATTTAACCCAAGGCCTTTACACTGAGCTACGTTTCCCATCTTTTATTTTTTAATTTTGAGACAGGGCCTTGATAAGTCAGGCATGGATCAAACTTGTGATTTTCCTGTCTTAGCCTCCGAAAGTGCTGGAATTACAGGTGTGCTGGATTTACATAATTTTAACAGTGTGTATATATAAACCTTGACAGTTAGAGTTTAGCGATGTCAAGTTTTTGGCAGACTGTATAAAGACAGGATAGATGGGGCAGGGATGCACGCAAAGATCTGTAAGCGAATTGCTCGCTTTTTAAGGCAGAGGTGACTTTGGAGCTCTTGATACGCAGTACAATGTTATAACGTTTCTGGGAAGGCAAGAAGTAATGCTGTGGTGGCGTAAGATTGCTGCCCGAGACTCAGGACGTGCTACTGGGTTGGCTTCTGGATCTTGTTCTTAAAGAGTACAAATCTGTGTACTTTGTTTGAAGCACAAGTTAGAGGTTACGTGCTTACGTGAGGGAAGAGGGGGAGCAAAGAGCATAGTGCCAGGAGAGAATGAAGAGGAGGGGCCCCTCTTCAGCCCTCAGCTCTTTCTGCAGCGGGTCCCAGCTGGCCCCATGAGCTGGTAGGATAGTTGGCCTGTACCTCTCATTTCCTTCTAGATTCTGCTGATTTGGTCTGTGGCCACTTTAATCATCTCACCTTTTAAAATTTTTTTGGTGCCAGGGATTGAACAAGGGCCTTGTGTGGTCTACACATGTAATCTACCACAAAGCTATATTTTTAACCCCTCAGCTCACCTCTGATATTCTCCTTTTCATGTGTCTAGAGGATCATCGCTGTCTTCAAACCCAAGAATGAAGAGCCATATGGGCACCTTAATCCTAAGTGGACCAAGTGGCTGCAGAAATTGTGCTGTCCCTGCTGCTTTGGCCGTGACTGCCTTGTCCTCAACCAGGGCTATCTCTCAGAGGCAGGAGCCAGCCTGGTGGACCAAAAACTGGAACTCAACATTGTACCCCGTACAAAGGTCAGTGACCCATTTCCCGGGAAATGCCTGGCTGAAGTTTTCCTGAAACCTGAGACCTATTATTGGGACTTTGGATTCAGTGTGTGTGTGTGTGTGTGTGTGTGTGTGTGTGTTGTGTGTGTGTGTGTATGTGTGAGTGTGTGTAAGTCTAAGGTTCTCAATCTTTTGCAGGGAGGGTGACAGGAGTAGACTTATGATTTGGTCATCTGATGAGGGTTATCTTGAGAAAAATACACATACAGGTTTTACACAAAAGTTCATTCACAGATATCCAGTACACATGGACTTTCTAACCCCAAATTGGTTAGAAACTTAGCTATTTTTGCATAATACACACAAATTCACACATAGAATGGATTTATACGTATTTTATATGTGTTACAGATTTAATTGAGGTTCTGCTGAAGGGTTCGGACCACTTCTCTACTAAACATATCTGAATATAGATAATGGATTGCATATAACTTCAAGTTTACTGATACCAGTTTAAGAATCTCTGTACTGTAGGGTGCTCCATGAGTTAACTCTCCAAGAGTTAGGAGAGGAAAAGCTGCTGGACAGCATACAAACACTTAAGAACAAACCATCATATACTGTGTAGCTACCTGGGATTTAGAAACAGCGTACATGGAGCTTTGATCTGATTCCCCAAGGCTGCAGAAGCATCTTCATAGTTTTGAGTCTTAACCCTCTTGGAGAATCTAGTGAAAGCTTTAGGTACTGTTCTCAGAAAAATTATTCATATTTGTAATCAGTATTTTGCATATAATTACTTTTTTTGTGTGTGGAACTGGGGATTGAACTCAGACCCTTGCGCTTGCCAGGGAAGCGCTTATTCTACAGAGCCATCTCCCCGGCCCCTGCATATAATTACTGGAGCAGTGCTTAGACTTGTTGAAGTCTATCCAATAGCCCTTTCCTCTAAATGGAAAAACTCCTGTTTGAGGTTTTCTTCACAGGTTCAGAGTCAGAGGACAGAGGTTGATCAGACAGGAATGTCCCTTCAAACTTGATTTGGTTTTCATAGGGTATTTTAGAAGAAAATATGACTGACTCCATTTGCACTTTGGTCACTAAACTGTAAATAGTAAGCCCAACTAGCTGGTAAGTTTCTAGTGGTCAGGGACCACTTCATGAGCTAGGCTTCTCCCATTCGCAATACCCAGTAAAGCACTTATTATCTATAATAAGTAATAAGTACCAGCTGACTTAGAGAGTGCACATTGTATTATGAGAAACAGTACCAAAGAGCCCCCAAATTCAGGTCTGTGGAGAAAAAGTTGGGCCAGGTCTGTAGTTCCCATTTGACAGCTAAGTCACTGTGTGGCTTTGTGTAGCTCTTTCCCTCCCTTTATGCTTTTTTCATCTCTGTGTGGATAAACAGCACACTTTGGCTGTCTTATGCTATACTTAATGCTCCTAAGCCTCCTGTCTAACCTGAAATCCTCCCACTGGGCCTTTCCTAGACTCTAGAAGCTCCTTAAGTATTCCTTACTCATCACTCTGTGATTTCCTGCCTTTGCAAGGCAGATAGCAAAGTGCCCCCGGCCCTCTACCTGCTGTCACCGGCCCTCTACCTGCTGTCACCGCTTTTGGAGTGCAGTGGCTAAAGATCAGAAAGCAAGTTTAAATTCTAGCTCTGTGACTGTCTTTTCTTTTGGAGGGGGCTGTACTGGGAATTGAACCCAGGTCCTTTGCACCGAACTACACCCCTAACCCTTTTAATTTTGAAACTGGGTCTTGCTAGTTGCTTAGGCTGTGTTCAAACTTGTGATCTTCTTGCATCAGCCTCCCAGACTGCTGGGATTACAGGCATGTGACTCCCACCTCACTTGCAGCTTTTTATTTGTGTGACCGTTGGGCAAGTCAGTTACCCCCCACCCACACAGTTTTCTTACTGTAAAAATAGGGACCTAAATAGTTACGACTTTGTTGAGTGGCTATTATGCTTATGCAAGATAATCCTTATAAAGCACATACCCTTGTGCCTGGCACAAAGTAAATACACCATAAATATTAAGATGTGATATTTTTCTGGGCTGTTCTGATTGATCTTTAGTGTCACCTCCACATCCTTTTCTTCCCTGTCTCTGGTCTTCTTTCCCTATTAGGGAATCTTAATGAGGCCTGAAGATCATTTGCGTCAGAAAATCAGCAATACCAAAAACACTATCCTCTGTGAAACGGAGATGAGACAGAATTTTGCTGCCGGGGAAAGTGAGAGAAGTCTCCCCTTATTCCGTCCCCCACCCTTCTGTGTGTAGGAATCTACCCAGTCGATCTGACTGTATGTCACTGTGGAACTAGGCTCACTTTTCAGTGGAGCTCCACACAGTAAGATTCTAATTCTCACTCACTGATGCTTTTGCTCTCCGTTCCTCTGAGATTATGATAGTCTCAGGTTTTTTTTTTCTTTCTTTTTCCAGAACCGGGGATTGAACTCGGGCCCTTGTGCTTGCCAGGGAAGCGCTTATTCCACTGAGCCATCTCCCCGGCCCCAAGTTTCAGGTTTTGATAATTTCATTAGTTGCAGGGAAAAAGTGGATCATTGGGAAGAATAATCACAAATTAATCTGATAAGAAGAAAAAGATGGTTCCTGGCTTGGGGTTTCACAGTTAAAATGGAAGGACTGGCCTTGGGAAAGCCCCTTTTCCCTGATTCCTGTGCCAGAGTATCCTGATCTGTAAGTTAGGGTGCACGAGCCACAAAACCATGCCCATTTATTTTTAGGAACTCTGCTCGCACTGGATGGATACAAGAAAGGAGAGATGGGAAGGAATTATTTTGTCTTTAATGTTTGTGAGAAATAGTTATTTGTAATAGCTTTTGTAAGGCTTAGGAAGGGAATTTTCTTTTTCTTTTTATTTATTTATTTATTTTTTTGGAGACAGGGTCTTGCTATGCAGTTCAGGCTGGCCTTGCGCTCACTTTGTAGCACAGGCTGGCATTGAACTCACAGCAATCCCCCTGCCTCAGCCTCCCAAGTGCTGGGATTACAGGCAGGGATTTTCTTATAAATTTAATGTAAGGTATTTATATGCTAAAACCTACTTGATGTCAGCTCTGAGAGAGACTCATAACTCATTTATTCTTTCATTTATTCACTTACTATTTAGTGAGCATGTGCCAGACACGTTAGGTGCTGGGATGTGGGTGAGATGTTCTCTTCCAGATCTTCCAAATCTCATTAGTTTTAAGAAAGAATGCAGGTATAGGAATGGACCATCAGAAGACAAACTGGTTTGTGAGTCTAGATGCAGATATGGATTACGTGGTGTCACCGCAGTTTGACAATCAAATGTAATATTAATGACCATTGCAATCTTTTTATTTTTCTTTAATCTTTTATTTATTTATGTATTGGCTGTGCAGCTTAGACTTGTAGTGACCCTCCTGTTTCAGCCTCCCCGGTGTGGAGATTACAGCCTTGTGCTACCGCCCAGTTTTGGTGGCTGGCATGGCATGCCTGGGGTGCCGGGCTGGCGCGGCACGTGGCACTGCAGGTGCTTAGACCATTGAGCTATTTTCCTGGCCCTACAATTTTTAAAAATAGACAGTGTGTATATTTAGTGGGAAAATCAGAAGGCACAAAAGAGTCAACAGAAAAAAATAATGTAGGTTCTTTTCCTGTGATAAGTTTCCTTCCTCGGTTTCCTACCCAGTTTCCTTCCTCAGAGGCGTTTGCTGTTACTAGTTTCTTGTGTAAGATTCTAGATAAAGTTTCTGCATGAATATGGAAGCCCATTAGAAGCAAAAACCAATTTTAAGGTGTATGTGTGTGTGTTTTTTTTGTATTTTAGGGAAAGGTCTACAGGGTGTTCAGGGTCTTACTGCTAGATTGGACTCAGAGTGATCTGCCTGTTTACAGGCTCCCAAGAGCTGGGATTAACATGCAAGTGCCACCACGCCCAGTCTCAGTTGCCTTCTCAGTGGGTGGGGCCAGCACGCAGGCCCAGGGATTGAGTCCCTGGCCCCTGCCTGCGCTTGCTTGCAGGCACTTTAATCCGCTGAGCTATTTGGCCGGCCCTGATTTTAATATTTATGAGGTTTTAATATGAATAATTTTACAAAGTACAAAAGAAACAAAGGGATATAATGTAAATTGCAATTTGTTTCTCTCTGGAAGGAAATAGGCCTTTGGCCTCTCCTAACCCTGGAGGTGATTGTCAGTCCAGGTGACTCCCACTAGCTGCTGTATCCTCTGAATCTCAGAGGCTTCCTGTATTTAGTAGGAGCTGATTTTTTGTGCAAGTCTATGTAGCTGCTCGTGTAGTGACAAGGGATCTGATATCCTTTGATGGTGTGACTTTTCTGTCTCAAAGCTTCTCATTTCTAGCTGTACATACTGGGAAATATGAACTAAGGATCATGTAGACTTTAGAGGCCAGGCCTGGAAGTGATGGACACACCTCACTTTGTCATCATTCCATTTTCCTGAACTACCCGTATTCCCTAACCTAGTTGCTAGGAGGGCTGAGTGAGAAGTGTATTCTTTCTCTGTGTCTTGGAAAAGGAGCAGTATTGGTGAATTTCTGGTTATTATCTCCCATAGTGATCTGTTTCCTAAACTTTAACCTGAGTATCTTTTCTCTTTCCCCTGCAGGTGGTATACCTAGCCAGCGAAACCTTCAATTACAGTGCCATTGACCGAGTGAAGTCCAGGGGCAAGCGGCTCGCACTAGAGAAAGTGCCAAAAGTTGGGCAGCGATTTAACCGCATTGGGCTACCTCCAAAGGTATTGATTATACTTATGTAGTTTATCAGAGATGCTGAAATACAATGACAGTTGTTCAAGTAGAAAAACAGGCTGACTGCAGACTTGAAGATAGACACACGGACAGTCTGTCCTGTGTTCCCTTTACCGAGTCCCTAATTCCTAGGAGCTTTGGATTTGAACTGTAGGGAAATGCTTTTGTTCCTTCTTGGTTGCAGGTTGGTTCATTCCAGCTCTTTGTTGAGGGCTATAAAGATGCAGACTATTGGCTGCGGCGTTTTGAAGCAGAACCTCTCCCTGAGAACACCAACAGGCAACTACTGCTACAGTTTGAGCGATTGGTAGTATTGGATTATATTATCCGCAACACCGGTGAGTAGCTGTGGATTATCCTGAACGCTGTGCCAGACTGGGAGGCATGGGGAAGACCTGCAGGCATGCAGGAGTTGGGAGTCAGATGCCTTGTCAGGGTGGATACCTTCCTGTGCTGGAGGGATCCTGCACATTTAGGGAGAATGTCAGAGAACACAGAGAGAGCTCTAGGATACGCTTTGCCAGACACTTCATGTGTAGTTAGCAGTGATGGCGAGGCCTGGGACAATATTTACATTTCATTTTAGTCTCTTTTCTGGTCACAGGTAGAAGATACCTGGCTCTTCCAAAACATAACGAAGAGCTTGCTTATTCTTACCTCTAGCCATTCTTACAGCATCGAGATCTATCGCAGGATAGTTTTGTCTGTTTCTAACTTTTTGAGATAGATATGTAAATCATTGATTAAATAAAATTCTCTGATGCAATTTTAACATGTTCACAACCTAATTCATATGTCTTGCTGGTGGGCAGCTCTGATTTGAATTTGATTATTCCTGTTGATTTAAACTACCAATGATAGAGACTGAGTGTGGTGGCGTGCACCTGTAATCCCAGCTCTTGGGAGGCTGTAAGCAGGCAGATCACTGTGAGTCCAATCTAGTAGTGAGACCCAGAACACCCTGTAGACCCTTCCCTAAAATACAAAAAAAGAATAAATAAATAAATAAATAAATAAATAAATCAACAGTGACACATCATGACCATTGGGCAGTTTGTAGCACTTCTCAGGGTATCTTTGATTAAAATAATACAAAGAGGGCTGGGGAGCTAGCTCAGTGGCTTAAGCACCTGCCTGGCAAGTACAAGGTCCCTAGTTTGATCCTTGATACCGCAAGAAAAATAAAAAAGAAAGGCATTGATTTAGCAGTGCAAATGTCATCATATTATAGTTCCTTAAGGAAAGCATTAAAATGGTATAAAATATGGTAATACAGGGGCTGGGGAGATAGCTCATTGGGGCTGGGAGATAGCTCAGTAGAATAAGTGCTTCCCTGGCAAGCACAAGGATCTGAGTTCAATCCCCGGTTCCGCAAAAAAAAAAAAAAAGGTAATACAACTAATTTATAATATAGCAGTTGTAAATGCATACTGTATTATATAAGCAGTGAGACATTTGTAAAATTTCTATGTCAAAATTTAGAGAATTTAGGGGCCAAGGAGATGGCTCAGTGGAATAAGTGCTTCCCTGGCAAGCGCAAGGACCTGAGTTCAATCCCTGGTTCCGCAAAAAAAAAAAAAAAAAAATTAAAGAATTTATTATTGATGAAATATTCATAAATATAAATTTCCTTTAATTTAATAAAATACATTTTTTGGTTTTTGAGAGCCTTGAGCTTTTTATGTAGCCCAGGCTGATTTTGAACTTGCAAAAGGTTTGCACCACCACACCCAGTCTCTATCACTGGTAGTTTCTATCACTGTCTGTAAGTTTGTTGATTATTACAATATTTGTTAATTTTATGAATAGTATTAATTCATATTTAATTTGGGCAGTGTTCATATTTAAGCAACTAACCATATTTGGTCCATTGATAGGCCTTTTATTAATTTTTATTAGAGACAGTTTTATCATCGATCTGTTTCTGTCACCAGTTTCTATTGTTAAGGGTAATTTTTTTTGTTACTGGGAATTGAACGCAGGACCTTGTGCTAGGCAGCCAGGTGTTCTTCCATTGAGCTTTATCCTCAGCCTATCGCCAGTTTCTACAAGCCAGTAGAAGCATGTTAATTTGTCTGACCTGACCAAATTTACGTATATCAAGGACAAATTCATACTTTATCAGAGCTATATATATTTTTTTTTCTTTTTTATCTTTCTGAAACAGGGTCTCTTTATGCCATTCAGGCTGGCCTTGAGCTCACTTTTTAGCCCAGGCTGGTCTGAAACTTGCCGTGATCCTCCTGCCTCAGCCTCCAAAGTGCTGGGATTACAGGGGTGTGCCACCATGTCCGGTTTTATATTTTTTCGAATATTTTGTATTGTAAAATACACACATTAATTTTGCTGTCTTAAACCTTAAGTGTGGCAGGTCCTAAGTCTGAAGCCCACTTATGCCGTTGCGCAACTGTCACCGT